TCTACGATAAATAATTCGCCTTTCGAATCATTGTGTTATTCAACCTTCCATTGGAAAGAAGCAGCCCAAGCCTCCTGCGCAATCTCGAGAACGACCAGCCATTGTACCACATACTGTAAGTCACAAATCATCTTTATTTTCATTAAAATTATTGATAAATCAGAGCTGCGGTTACCAAATCTTCTCCCTTGCATCAAACCTTCCTTAATCCACCCTCTTTATCGTACGCTTTTAGCCAGACTTTATCACTGTTTTAAACGAGAAACGAACCAGCCTGGTCCCGGTTAAACTCGGTGAATGCAGAGTGACCATAAACAGGCATTACATATACTACTTATCAAAACTCGTCCTCTAGGACGTAACAGTCTATATGTTCATTTTTCTATTAATTTGCTATCGTTTATTCGTTATCATTATTCTAAACTCGTTTACTTTTTTGTTGAACAACGTCTACTAATATTGTAGGATGTGAAAATATTTAGCACTTATTAGTGTTTGTTCTATATATTTTATGAAAGAGTATACTCGAAAACTTATTAAATACACCAAAGATCTAGATAATAATAATCGGGATCTAGTAGCGTTATAGCACGTTTCCGAGTCAATATTTAATAAATATTTTCGACATTCGTTGAGGATACTTTTCATATTCGAGTTAATTCTGCATTAATAATGTTTTGGCATTATTGTAATATTGTATGATATGGATTTCCACGCGTAGTGTCAGAGTTCGCCGCCTGTAAGTTTCTTACGTAAGACTCGTATTAGCTTGATGTAGAAAAGGGCAGGTCGCACTTCCTACTTTCAATCACGTGTTGACGTTGAAAACTGATGCGACGCAGTCGTGGAATACTAAAGTCCAAGCAGTGCTAACGTGTACATTAGATATGCAAAAGTAATTTACATTCATATGGTCACTTTATTTTCTGCAAAAACTAACTAATCAAAAAACGATAACATAATTCGTGGCAAGTTTTAATATTGCAAAAATTTTAAATGCAAATATAAAGAGTAAATAGAAGCGTTATTCCTCATATAATTTAAAAAACTTTTTTTTTAAACAGAAAACTAAGATTTAATGTTTCTAAACAAGCATAACGAATGTAATGTAGTATATAAGTATTTGTATTGAATTATTTATATATTGTTAAAGCAGAAAACTTCTTTAGAATCAGAGTAATTTGAAACTCGAGGAATCAGAATAGTGTGAAACTCTATGAAAAAAAAATGCGTCACTAAAAAGAAACAAACATAAAAAAAACAACATCTGTGCAGATCACACGTGCTATAAGTGATACCTTTAAAAAACTGAGTTTCGTGGAAAGGAGATGAATGCACCGTATCAGAAGTAAGATTATAGTAGGATTCATTTATTATAATAATGTAACATATATACGTGGGATTCCTCTTCTCCTGTTAGTCTTCCTAAAGGATATCTAACAAGTAAAAGGGAAAGAATTCCGCGGTGTTATTAATAGGTTGATGTAGAAAGAAAAACCGTTCTTCACGGATATGCAATATATTTAATATAAAGAAGTAAAAATACAGTGATGATAAAACGCCTTCTTTGCTCGGCTACTAAACGATGACTGCCTCTTGGTTTCTTTCTATCGTTATTCGGCTATTTATATTACATAGTTTATCCTTTGCCTAACTATATCCGATAAGTACCCTCTGGCCCACTCACGCTTAAGCTCAGCATTTAACGCTAGTTGTTCCGTCTCCACTGAATGTGTTGACCGACTCTTCAACGWCYTTAAAAGACAACATCTGCATTGCCCTTGCAGAAGTTTCTTTTTCGTCGATGATAGATTCCTCGTCTTCGGTATCATCATCCTGTGAATCCTCTTCATCATCATCATCTTGTTTTTTATTGTTAGCTGCTCGTAAGCGTTCCGCTAACTCCTTCTTTCTACCCTTTGAGCTTAAGCCCATTCTCTTCAAGCTGGCTTTCAGCTCCAGGTACTTCATCTGATCGACGTCTGGCTCTGATGCCACACAGTCGTATTAGACACATCTTCTTGTGATGTCCCCCTTGATTCCATGATGCACTAGACACTTTAACGCTTCCAACTAATAATTACTTACACGCTCGTGAAATCGATTCTATCCCGGCTGAGCCCCCAAAAATGTAAGATTTATTTAAATTTAAAATATAAGTATTTATTATAATAGAACAAATGTTTAATTATTAAGGTTTAATATAGTAATAAAGAGATAGAAAAGGAAAGTAAGTAACAATAGTTAGAAATCTTAAGTACACTCNAAAGAACTGAATACTAGGTTTCGTCTACATCTGCGACACTTAAAACTCTCCTACATACATATATTCGGATTTATCCAAGGTTGCAGTATCTAGGTTAGTCCAGTCAAAATAGCCCTGAAATCAGGTTTTTGAGCTATACGGCTGAAAAAATATGGAAATTATCAGAAAAATGCGTACAAAACTGTGGGCAAAGTAAAAAAGTTATCAACCATCGGAAAAGGGGTGAAAAAAATTAAAAACTACCCCAAAATACGATGTTTGGATTATATGTTGAAAATATCAAAAAAAGTTGGAAATAAAAGTTGTAGARCATTAAATTTTAGGTCTATCTCTTACAGACCATTTTTCCCCTAAAACGCACCCTTTCACCCCTACGACGGTTCAAAGTACTCAAAAAATGAAAATTCAATAAAAAATATAAAACTTACATTTATATTACGCTTACATGCGTGCAAGAGAGATAGACAACCTATGTTAGCTTCGTCCAAATGTAAACAGTATAACGCGATAAAACACTTTTTCTTAAATATATTCTCTTTTTCTTCTATATTCTCTATAGCTCGAGAGTCTCGCGCGCATCTGTGACAGCATGATAGATTTTTGAAAATATCTCAAAAAGTAAGCGAGATAAAGCGATTTTGTATTAATTATGTTTTGTAGACAATTTTATTTGCTACAAAAAAGGTCAAGTACTAAAATATTTTATCTCCCTTACTTTTCGAGATATATTAAAAAAATTAAAAAACTATTCCCACCTTTTCTTACATTTTTGAAAATATCTCAAAAAGTAAGCRAGATAAAGCGATTTTTTATTAATTATGTTTTGTAGACAATTTTATTTGCTACAAAAAAGGTCTATTATTATGTGGGAACCCCATCGGTGACTCCGAAGTATGTGTTATTGRAAAAACCCAATTAATATCTCTCTTGTCTATCTCTCTTGCACGCATGTAAGCTAAGAGTTTGCGCATGCGTGCCATGGCGACCTACGTCACAATGAGTAAGAGCAAAACAGCTTCATTKTCTGTTTCTTTCTACAAAGGCGTAGGACTAAGGGAGTAATTACCTGTCTTTAAATTGGGATATTTCCTACAGGTAAATATTTATAAATATAAATTCAACACCAAAATTTAAGAAATAAATTTAAAATTCATATGAAAAAGAAAATTTTTTTAAATAACCCGTTTTAAGCGAAATATCGAGCAAAAACCGTTTTCACCCCTTGATTTTTAATAGAAAGGATAAAAAAAAATTTTTTGTTTCCCTACGATTGTTCTTTGTAGTTTTTTAAACATAATTAAAAAAAAAAAATTAAAAAAGTCCCATTTTTATATTTTTTATTGAATTTTCATTTTTTGAGTACTTTGAACCGTCGTAGGGGTGAAAGGGTACGTTTTAGGGGGAAAATGGTCTGTAAGAGATAGGCCTAAAATTTAATGCTCTACAACTTTTATTTTCAACTTTTTTTGATATTTTCAACATATAATCCAAATATCGTATTTTGGGGTAGTTTTTAATTTTTTTCACCCCTTTTCCGATGGTTGATAACTTTTTTACTTTGCCCACAGTTTTGTACGCATTTTTCTGATAATTTCCATATTTTTTCAGCCGTATAGCTCAAAAACCCGATTTCAGGGCTATTTTGAYTGGACTAGGTCTAGGAAGTTGTTTTCATACAGGGATAAACTAATATTCTATTCTAAATACAATTTCATTGTCTGTGAAACAAAAAGGCTTCCAATTTCGNAAAATAAATTTATTTAAAATTTTTTAACTTTTTCAGTATTGTTTTGTGGAGAGGGGGGCTCCGCCCACCCCATCCCCCGCCGGGGCTCTGCCCCTGGACCCCAATTATGTACTAAATATGTCCCCGCATTCGTAATAAAAAATAGTATATAAAACTAGTGCGCAGTTGTCGATTGCCCACTCGAGCGAATGAGTTCTAGTGCGTAATCGACAACTTTACGCACTAGTTGCATAATATACTATTATTTGATTAAAACACTAACGTACATTTTTTTATGACGTAAATATTATAATTAATAATATAATTTTGTTGTATTCCTGGATCAATACAAATCTTTGTAAATTTTTTATAAAAACAAAAAAATTAAATTTAATAGACATATATTTTGTCTTTATGAATTAAATATATTTTATAAAGAAGGAAAATAAAAATGTGACAGTAATTTACTTGCATTTGAATAGAGTTTTTACTTCAAAGCTCAAAAATATCTTTTGCACTATCTTCCTGGGCCCATAGTCTGTACAGATTACTTAGAAAAAGAATAATTTCACTAAGGATTAGAAAAGATAATATTGGATTTATTATTAGCATATGGATTAAAAACAACATGTTTGAAAAATTGTCTTTACTAGATTGCTAAAGGCAATCTGTCAAATTGTAAAAAATAAGAAATTACTAGCGTCCTTTTAGTCTAGTTATTGCACAAAAAGTCTACGGCTGTTGTGCCAATAAAGTCGATGACAAGTGTTTATTTTTACCAGACCTATTGGTAAGTTCTTCTTTTATTAATGATAAATATTCTACGTTTAATATCTTTTTAAGTTAACATATTAAAAATTATTTCATTTCCCATATTATCAACAAATATAATTTGAACGAAGAAAAATAGATTCCAACCTCTATATTCTTGCTAAAAGTTTTAATATGTAGACATCTTCTCGTTAATAAATAAAGTCAATGCGTCTATTGGCAGAAATATTTCAAAGCTGTAGGGAAAAGTATTTATTCCATAAACAAATAATTAACATATTCTATCTAATGATAATTATGAAACGATTGTTCTATTATCGTTTTTCACAGATTGTCAAAAATAAAATATGTAAGTAAAAAGAGAATATAATAAGCAATATAAAATCCAAAGAATTAAAAAATAAATAAACCACTTCAACGTATAATGAGCTATTTTCAACCTAGAAATGATAAACAATAAAAACGATAATTAATTTTCAATGGTATACAAATAATATTTGTTTTAAAAACAAGATAATAAAAAATTTACCTTCTATAAAAAGGTTTTGATTCTTCAATGGTATCCATCGGGTCTTTAGCTAAAAATACTCGAATACCCCTCATGTAAGTAACAGAAAAACACTCCCAATCAATATCAGCAACATTAAAGAAGAAGTTACTTTTATCGACTACAGATAGCTTGTCCCATAACTTCAAAACATTATCGTTTGTAAATTCCCATTCATTCATTGTGAAGAAACTTATTACATGTTTAAACTTATCTATATTTCTGAAGATGTTAAGCAATCTGAAAAAAAAAAACAACTAACTTAATAATGTTTATTTTTATAGGCAAATAATAAATCTAGATATGGTTATACATTACATTGGTTTTCTTCCGCTGAGATATAATAAGGAGTCCGCTATAATTGCTGGTATCCAGTGCAAAAAAATTGTCAAAAAAATATGGAAATAATAGTTCGTGTTAAACCATAAGCTGTAGTACCAGAACACTTTTTTCGACGGGATTTCAAATCCGAAAGTTCTTAGATAATTTTCCATAACTCCTCAAGTAACTGGTCTTTGAACGGAGGAAACAGCATTATAAATTGGAATCTCATCGTCAACGGGTAAGTATTTGTTATCTCTGCTGAAAAGATTAACACCACGTGATATTGATCTACGATTAGAGCCCTTTCTTACTCACTGTAAACTTTATTTTAAAAGTTGAACAAAAAGTTGATTTTAGTGGTAATTCAAAAAAGAAGAAACAAATTACCGTTTTTGTCCCACGTCCCATACTGCAGCAATAATGTTGTTGACAACATAATCGGCAGGAATTATGTCGCAGACTAAGTTGTCATCACAATACAGTGTTCGTAAAACACCTGTCGAGCTACCAAAACTAACACCTGTAAATCCATACAAATTGTTTATCCAACCAGCAATTGGTTCCTTTTCCGTTGGGATAACAATGGATGGCCGAACGATACAAGTTGGAATTCCATTAGAATATTGCCGTACAGTATCTTCACAGATTGCCTTTGAAAATACATAAGTGTTGGGCCACTTACCCAGTAGCCTGTAAAACAAACGAATATGTTTATCGACTTATTTCTAAAAAAATGCAATAGGTCTCATGTTTTATTACTTTGGGGTAATTAAATCTAATTGATCTTCGGTCAAAATTTCTGTTAATCTAATTATGTCTTCTGTCTTCATGGGTGGCTTATAGAATTTTTCTTCGATTTTATTGTATACACAGTGCGAGTAAGACGTTGAAACATAAACAAAAGCCTAAAAAACAAAATTATTATAAAATTAAAACAATTTATTTTTTTCAAATTATCAAATGTATATATATAATATATTATAAATATAATAATACATTATAAATGTATATATAATAATCAATTTCAAATTATACTAATGCCAATATAAAAATAAATTGATCTAGTCGGGAATTGTGCTTAAACATACGCATTTGTATACGGATAATTTAACTAGAAAAAAAGTACCTTTAAGCTTGTCATTTCTTGTGCAAGCAAGAGAAGATCTCTTGTTCCTCTGATATTTATGTTAACTATAATACGAATATTGTCCGCAAAACGTACGGATGCTGCACAGTGAAAAATTATATCGGTATCTTTAATGCGTTCGCGGTCCCTCTCTGACAATCYTATATTCAATTGACTCGTGTCTCCTTCTATCAGAATAATCTTCTTTTCGACATCTTTTTGCTCTCTCTTCAATCTATCAAAAATCTAAAGATTTAAATATAAATTGTAATATCGGTGATAACTTTTATTCGCATAATAATTAGTACAGAGCATGTAACTTTACTTACAATATCATTGAAATATTCTTTAAATCGAGTTTGCGGATCCTTCTGTTTCTTTGCCCTTATCAGCAAATAAATCGTTGTTATTCCTGGACAGCATCTGCAAACYGCAGCAATAGCATTTATAGTAAAAGATTTTAGCCGAAAAATAATTTTTATACAAAAAAAATTATTGTCTAAGTTTACATATAGAAGTAAAAAGAGAAATAGAAAATAAAAGRAATAAAGAAAAATTATGTTTATTTTTAAAGACAGGTAGTATTAGATAGAAAGTATCCGCTTAATATAATAATTTAAAAGAAATTTTATTTGCTAAAAAAAAAAAATTCATATTTTTGTATGACAAAAACTTTATGCTATCTTTTTATAGCTTTTTATATAAAAAGCTTAAATTCCTGTGGTACAAAAGTTTAAATAATTTATAGACTTTAACACTTAACCTACCATGCGCGGTCAAATGACCCTTTTTTAAATTTCGTTTAGAATTTCTCGTATACAACTTTACTGTATCACCATATAGCTTATTGACTTTTCCTATAACATACACACAACCCATTTTTCAATATTCACAACTTTCTTAATTGTTTATCTTCCGAAAAAAATTTATACCATGTCTAGTCTACCACGAGCGGTCATTTGACCGTTCAAACAATTCATGTTATATAAAAATACATTCTTCAGAAAACGCACCCTAATAATTGTTTTACTAGTGTACAATATAATTGTGGATCTCTACAGTGTAGACAATTATAGAACAAGAAATGGGGTCTGTCATTTTTCTCGTCAACTAAGAGCCTGAATGATTCCACAGAAATCAAGAGATTTATTCGGTTTGATATCAAATATCAACGAAGAAAATGCTTAGAAAACAATAAATTCGCTTTGATTTCTGTAGTTTGATACAAGTTAATCGAAAATAGTCAAAACTGTTATAAACCACGTGCATATCTTGCTATATATGAACAATTATTTTCTACTAAAGCATGTTGTAGTTATTCTCATACACTTGTATTACTTAATACATGCCCGAAAAATCGTACAAATTTGGCATAAAATTCTGGTTAGCTTCCTATATAAATAGTAAGTATATAGTAAACGGCTTTCCATATTTGAGAAAAAATAAAGGGAGAGAATCATCGGTCCCATTTTGGAAGTTTGTAACTTTAAAAATGAACAGAACCATATATGGGATATGGGAGAAATATAACAACTGACAATTTTTTTACAAGAGCGTCATTAGCGAGTAAGCATCTTGCAAAAAAAAAACTACTCAGAGATTATTTTTCTTATTTATTTCAAACTATATGAATCTCTATCAAAATTTATTTAAAATTTGTGATTGAAAACTTATAACTAATGTACAATTCTGATTGGTAACAAAAATATATATGAAACATTCTTACCTCAAAAGTTTTTCAATTATAAGTCTTCCTATAAATCCTAAGCCTCCTGTTATAAAAATTTTTTTTCCAGAATAAAATGTAGCAATTTCACCCCGTTGATTATAATAATTCGRCTCTTCTACCATCGGAAATAGTTCCTCTTGATACGTTTGTCCGCTTAATGATGCCATTTTTTGAATTCTTTTATAATAAAAAAAAATATTACATATAAGTAAAGTACACAAAAAATTTCACTTAATAATAATTATCAATSCCARACAAATCTTAAAGATAAGTARATATTTATAAGTGATTGTAATAGATACTTTTAATTATAAATATGGTTCTAAGTTGGTCGTTTTTAGCTGAATGGAAAATTCAGTTTTTATTTTTTTTATATAATTTATTATAGTAACAAACATAAATCAAATAAGTATATTTGTTCTAATAAAGTAATTCGTTTATAAAATTAAAAATTTTTTAAAATAACGTTTGAAAATAAACATGCCAATTAATATTTCCAATGACTRAAGCTACTCTCATAATCTATGGCTTTTATAATGTTCCATTCAATATAACTTTATAATAATTTTTTTTAGCCAACTTTTTAAATTTTATTTGAAACATAAATTAAACTTGGTAATTTAGTTCGTCTGTCCTTTTATCTTATTTATACGAATTACACTTATTTACAAAATTTTATCTTTTGTGAATTTCACAGTTATAATTAGTATAGAATGTTAAAAAATAAAAAACTTACCTATTTATCTCAACAACTTTTATCACAAAGAATATAATAAAATGTGATTAGTTTTTCGATTTTAMACTATTAAAAAAAAACTTTTATTAACTTTTTATCTTATGAAGAACTAAGTATGTTTGTGAGATATTAAGAAATATTATAATAAATTGAGTATTAAAAACGTCCTCTCGATAAAAATATCTGTTAAACTTTTTCTAAGTAACGTAATTCAACTCGATTTATATATCGACTGTCGAATATCGGTAATCCGCTTCTGCATTTGTATATATGCACACTCCCACTCGTGTACAATGTTCAATTCCCAAATTCAAATCCCACAAGTGTACAGACTTCATATTATCAATTTGCATACAATACAACAGGAAACAACATAGTCATCGTGAGAATGTTTGTTTTGCAATAACATGCTAATTGAATTATTCTAAACTTTACACCGTCTTGTAGCAATTTTTTATCGTAATCTGTTACTATTTCGACCACGGTACACTCTCGAAGAAAAATGGCAATTTAGACAGCGCACAATAGTCCCAAATTTATAATAWGTTGCCAAAAAATGACAATATAGTTTATTATTTTGGAAAATTAGTATATGAATTTTTTTGAAGTACTTGACTACAAATCTAATATTAATTTTGAAAAAAAAAACAATGGGAAACACACAACTAAAGATAATAACTATGTCAATTTAAATGAAAGTAATGTTATTTGTAGCGAGATCGTTATTTTAATCGTGTTCTTTTTTTCGTAATTAATGTAAGGATTATTAGATCTGTGCTAGATAGATAAACATGAATTACTATTCACGAGATACTTTTGTTTTTATAGCAGCGACTATTATTTAAGTAATTTACAACAATATTACTTGCTTTCGTTCTTTTTCCGTTAGCAGTCTTTGAGGTTTGATTGTCACTTGAAGATAGTATAAATCTCTTATTTTGAAGATTTGTATTCAAAAATTTATTCATAGAACCAAGTATGTCATCCTAAGATCATAAAAACCGGATGATTATTAAAGGTGTCGTGAACCTATAGTAACAGTCATTGTATGCGATAAAGTGTACAACTTGCTTAAGAAACTATTTCGAAGGCCCAACTCGATTGCACATTCGATCTACAAGAAACAAAGAAAAATTCGTAAGATCTTTCGCTGACCTAATACAAAGTTATAAAAGTATTTTATAAGTATATCRAAACATTTTGCCCGTCACGTGTAAGATTTTTCGTTTTTTCGTTGTCCAACGCAGTTGATTTAGATGTGTGTGGATGACTTAAAAGACCTTAAAGTAGACAATTTATGCAAAAAAAGAAAAGAATCTGGCATTCAAGGGTTTTTTTTTAATTCTATATTTTGTTAAAAAAAAATTTACAAGAATAAATATAATACGAATATTTCACCGTTTTCGCGACTAAATACTCTACTATACACAGATGCATCAATAATCGTTGTAAGCCATGTAATAATAGATTATTTCGTAAATGACAACSAAAGAATAAATATTTGATATTTTTTWTATATAKATTACTAATAAAATGAATTTTTYTGAAAAATAAATGTAAATGTAAAATCTTTGGCTGTAGATCAGGAATTGTAGCAACCTTCTCCCGGTGAGACTCGTTTCGGTATTGATCGAGGTATACGACATCGCTTATCTCGAACATTCAACGACCATCGACTTTTTATCGTCCATCGATTAARGAATCTGAAATAAACAAATCATTGAAATATTAATTACTGTCGGAATCTCGATTTGTAAATAACTACTAATTTTAATAAACGTACTTTTTTACCAGTTGATTTTTACGCGATAAGTATTATACATGTAGGGAATTTTATTTAGGGTGAGAGGTGCGAGGTGAATATACATCCAGTTTAATCCTACTANTTTTTTTTGCAACTAATACCTTTAGATGCTTGAAAAAGAACAAAACAATTTTGGTCATATTTTTTTCATTTCATTGAGTTTGGAATTACAATGATAGTATGACAGTAATTCTTTCAAACTGACGTAAATAGCAATACAYTGTTATATAAGATAGATCATTTAGAAATACCCATCTAGCATTTCTAATGAAAAATCAATGTTTTTAAATATAACGATAGATTATGATTTTAAAATATTAGGGATCATAAAATAGCAAGTAATATATCAATAAAAGTTTTACAAAACAGTTTTTTAATCCTTAATCAATTTGTATCACTYTGTAATTTAATAGACAACTGTAAATGTTGAGATTAGAGGTGGTTGATAAAATGATAAGCAGATTTAGTTGCTAAAAACTATATTTAATTAGAACAAACGCGCAATGTACACCGCGTTACTCGTGCGAGGCTTAGAGAGTAGATTCGGACAAAGGACCACTACATACCGTTACACGTAAAGCGCTCCTGCCNTAAAGCAATAGAAAACTTTATGGCTTCAATAATGACTCTATATTATGTAATTATTATTATCAAAAGACTTTAATCTTATAAATAATATTCCCTACTCAACAAATTTGTATTGTATTTTTATATCTAGTTTGGGGGTTAGAGAAAAGAGAAAAAAAAATAAGAAGATTATAATATATATGTGACATTCCGCCACGATTCGCCTACCTAAATTTTTCGCAGCAATATAAATCCAGTTGCCCGAGATATCATTCCAGTAGTTCGCATGAATAACAATAGAAACAATTATAAGTAGTACGTATAAGAGATTAACTATTACTTGCATTGCTCCATATTCACTCTCTACATTGAAATGAACTATTGGAAGGATTGTCCCTTGCAAGGCACATACCGGAACCATCAATTATCTCCTGAAGAACCTATTTCCTAGAACAAAGAATACCATTCTTCCTCCAGTGTCGCACGTGCCTGCTTGTCTCCAAGGCCACGTATAGAATCCGACACTGCACTAAGATTTTTCGTTGCACCAACATCCATTGCCCCAGGAATATTTCCTTTTGAATCGAGCTCTTTCTTTTAACTAGCTTGGAAAAGTAACTAACGAATAAACAAATATCGAGGAAAGGAATTGAATATGAGACTCGTCATGTGTAAGACTAAAAGGTTTTAATAGCCACCAACGCTCTCCAATTCTTTTACATGGACCCATTGGCTATCTCATAAATTTCACTGATGCATATGCTTAAAGGCACAACCAATTAAATAAAAATCTCTCTGAAGATTTCCTTCGCATTCATAGTATCGAGCACCCCCGCCTATGTTTCAACACATGAAACCTAACGTGAAAATGACAACTACAACGCAGGAAAGCAACTCTTACCGAAATCCTAGAATATAACCATACCTCCTTGCAATAAAATATTATAAACAATTCTCTTGAACACTCCCTCGTCTTTTCCTTCCCCCCGACTGAATGTCGCCAAGCTAGGACACGTCTACTAAAAGTCACGTAGGACTAACGGTAATCCATTCCTGGAATATTCCAGAACAAGAGAATAATTATAAATAACTATCGCCCGCGAAACTATGTGTACAAACACACGATTGAATATGTAATTCTTAAATATAATCGAAGATGCTGAATATGTTGTCTTACTACTGAATTGTATTGGAATATAATTGATTTAAGGATGATAAAATGATTATTGATTGGAGATTAACGAAACGTAATCTATTAAGAAATGATAAAGCGTAATTGTCTATGAGATATTGAATGTATGATGAGAACTAGAGAGATAAGAATTCATAAATGATAATCTACAATATATAAGAATAGTATATGCATGTATTAGTAGTCCATGAGGACGTAAGAATCTTCTCGAACGGGGATGCACGGGAAGCTTGGGCCAGCTAAAGCCAAAGAGTGAGGGTACCAAAGCTACCCCCTTCCACGAAGGATTTTTAGGGGATATAAAAGCGAGAGGACATCAGCCTTGCGTTCACTTTTATATTCTCACCAGTCACACTTTTAACTTATATTTCTTACCGGTCACTTACATTTTCACTGTTCACTTACAGTTTTCCAGTCACTTATAGTTTTCCGGTCATTTATATTTTTACCAGTCACTTATTGTTCAGTTCCTACTTATAATTATTCAGTAAACTTCACATTCGCTACTAGCGTTTCAGCTCTATTCCTTATTTGAACATTATTCAATTTTATTAATTAGTCTACGATAAATAATTCGCCTTTCGAGTTATTGTGTTATACAACCTTCCATTGGAAAGAATCAGCCCCAAGCCTTCTGCGCAATCTCGAGAACAACCTACCACTGTACAACAAACTGTAAGTCATAAACCTCTTTTATTTTCATTAAAACCATTGTTAAATCAGAGCTGCGGTTACCAATATTTCTCCTTTTAATCACAACTTCCTCAATCTACCCCTTTACCGTACGCACTTGCCATATTTTATCACTGTTGAAACGAGAAAACAAACCAGCTTGGTCCCGGTTAAACTCGGTGAATGCAGAGTGACTATAAACAGGCGTTATTTATACTACTTACTTAAATTCGTCCTCTAGGACGTAACAAAATTGGTGTTAGAAGTGGGACACGTGTTCGTTCTTTCGTTGGAATAGTGATAGGAAATGGCAATGGGCACTCGCGGTAAAACTAATTTGTCCGGGGAAGAAGTCGGACTCATGATGGAGGAGATTAATAAAAAAGAAAAACGAGGTAATAAAGAAAGAAAAGCGATGCAGTTAGAAATAGAACAGGCCGCAGAATTAATTAAACAAAGAAACGAAGAAGTAGAAAGATTAAAAGCGCGATTAGAAGCTTTCGAAAAATCTGCGAATCCTGAACCGTCAGACGTTCCGGCCTCCCACACTCCCGTTTCTCGCCTTCCTCCGCAATTTGCCACCTTCAGTCACGCTTACGCGCCTAGAGAAATCATCGAAAAAGTCCCTAAATTCGACGCAATAATTCCCAAACTGATACCTTTATCAAAGCTTGTCTACGGGCCACTCAATCATTTGCAAAATTATCCCGTGACAGAAATAATAACCGCGTTGAGAAGTAGGCTAACCGGATTCGCGGACGATATATGTGCAAACGCCGAATTTGAAACTGTTGAAGCATTTATCAAAAAAAGAAAAATTAATTTTAAACCGTGCAAATCCACATTTGAGTGCATCGCCGAA